CTGCAGCTGTTGCTGTAGTAGTGCGGGTTTGGGCTGCTGCTGCTACTGGGGGATATACTTGCTGTATACTGGCTGCAGCAACCCCATGATACAGGCTTCTTGAGACCAGCCCCTGGTGCTGCATTTGCTCCGCACCCACTAGATATGCTACTGAGTACAGAGCTGCATTTACCGTGGCAAAGGGAGGGGTGCCATTCTGCTCATCATCTGTGCCCCAGATACATTACTGGGTGAAGGGCTATGCCTATCTGGCTATAGGAGCCAGGCAGTGTGGGGCTGCTGCTGTTGCTGCAGCAAAGCCTTGGTGGGGAGACGCACAACACCATTTTGGCATCCCCACTAATTCAGCACCCAGGGCTGATACACTGCTTGTCCTGTCCCCCTAGTTACATTACTGCTTAAAACACTTAAATTCACTTTATATTGATACTTAGATTTTTTTTCTTGGACAAGTGGGTAAGTAATGTGCTACAGATTTGTACACCTGGCCCCAGCTTGGTGGTGGTGAGAAGGTGTTTCTATCTAAAACCAGTGGTTTATGTAAGACAGAAGTCTTGCCCGCTGGAAATTAGATCACATCCAAATAAACACCCTCCCCATTACAACTCAATCAGCTGTCTCAGCAGAGAAGCCAAAGACAGGGTGAGCATAGAGAGCAAGCTAGCTTCCCAAGTTTTGAAAAGGAAATGGTTGCAGGTGTTGGGTCAGGGGCTTGTGGATAAAGCCAGAACTAATTCTGTTTGTTGTGCAAATTTCTTTGAAATTAGGACTTTGATGTATGGCATCACCAGTCCAGCAAGTCTTTATACCTACTAAATTCACTTTAAAATTTAGTGAGGTGGTTAGCCATGTTAGCCTGATGTCAGGCAGGAGAAAGGCACCCTACTTAATCAGATGGTATTGTCGTAGGCAAAGCTTATGCCTCCTGGAACCAGTTAGTCTCTCAGGTGCCACCCTGACCTACCTTCAGTTTAGAATTGGTGAAGATGTGTGCACTGTGTCTGATTTGCAGCTGGTAGAAAGGCAACTTTGCTAATTACAGTGGTGCTGTGCCTGCTTATATACCATCCCATCCCCTGCCCTCCCCTGGCTGACCATATGGCTCATCGTATTTTACTGACTATTCTATTACTGAGGATGTTTTTCCTCTTTTATTGGGTGGGTTTTACCTACATCCAATACATCCTTAAAGAGGAGGGTTGCTTGTCCCTAGATTTATTCAGTAATTTAAGAGCCGCTTTGAAGGATTGAGCTGGTCCCTTTTTAAAAACAATTCAGTGAAAAGGCGACCAGAAGAGAATTTCAGGTTCTCTTTGGAAGGTTGGGGCAAGTTGGCAGCAGTGATATAAAGATGTTCTCATTCTCCTGTTTACTGTAGTGGCAATGCTGCGGGGCCTTTGGAGCTGACGACTGGAACCTCAACATCTACTTCAATTGCACAGATTCCAACGCGAGTCGAGAGCGCTGTGGCGTGCCGTTTTCATGCTGTACTAAAGACCCTGCAGTAAGTGAACAATAAATGGGCCATTTTGCCTTTCTGCACCTGTGTTAAAACACTGCTGCAGGACACACTGTATTCGAGAGAGGCATGGGTTGTCTGTTTTACCCCTTGTTCTTCCCAGCCATGTCAAAGTTCAACCAGCACACTCAGCATCAGTTTGTTGTTTAACCCTGGGATAATGTTGGAAGACTTCACTGTGTAGTGCAGGCGTGCTGCTTTTTGGCAGAAGGAATTGTTGGCTAGGCCAGGTGCGCATGTTAACAGGGGTACAGCTAAGGGCCAAAATTGGTCACGTGCTGGTTGCTTTCAGTTTTATCATTGGGTTGTTTCACTTTTTGCCTTCCCCTCTCCAGCTGAACAGCAGCTGCAAAGCTGAACATTTAAAATAAACTTGATTTCTGAACAAATGTGTATAGTAGCTATGCTGACAAAACTCTTCTGTTAGCATAACTCTTTTGTTAAAAGAGTTGTAAATGCTTTTGTTAGCATATCTTTTATTAGAACAACTAAATAGTTGCAAAATATTTTTTTTCTTTGCAAGCTTTCAGGCTCAGATGCCCTTCATCTGGCAAAGGAGAATTGAAAAATGTTAAGAGCTCTCCCAGGTAGAAAAGAACTTCATCTTGCAGAGGAGAAAACAGAGATATTGGGATTTCTCCTGGGTGGAAAGGCCAGTTTGTAAAAAGCTGCTTAGTGAGAATGCGAAATAGGAACAGACGATGGCTGAAGCAATCCAGTTACCTGAAGGTGTCAGATGGCAGGCAGGGTGTTGAATTTGGCTGCTTTCTTGTTCATGTTGTGAAGTTCCATTTTAAAATGGTAAAATATGATATCCTCCGTGTTTTAGGGATATTGGTTGTAGCAGTGTTGGTCTAAGGGAAGACAAAACTCTTGGGGCAGAGGTGATATCTTTTATTAGACCAACTAAATATTTGCAAAAAATTTTTTTTTTCTCTGCAAGCTTTCAGGTGAGTAGTTATACTTGCATTACTTCTGTGGTAGTACCTGAAGACTGCAGCTGGGTTAGGCCAGTCCTGGTTGTGCTAGGTGCTACACAAAGGGTGCACCTACACGTTGCCCTACGTGGTGCTTTGGCAGCGCAGTGATCTCATGCAGCTACTCTGCTGTAGTGGTGCGCTTCCCCATTTTGGCATGCCACCATGGTGCAGTAGTGGCTAAAACTAACTGCGCTGTGTGCAGGGCACAGTATGGGTAGTTACTGCGCTCTGCTTTAGTACTAGGAAGTACTAAAGCATGGTGCAGTAATAACATTGTCATAGGGCAATGTGTAGACATGCATCCTTGGGATGTATTAAATCCCAGTCTCTGTTCCAAAGAAATTATTTGCTTTGAATTTGAGATACGAATGGAAATCTCTCTCTCTCTGTGTCTCTTCCCCTCCCCTTCTTCCCCACCTTTCCTTCCTCCTGCATTTCTGCTTCTTTACAATGACAGACTATTGTGATGATAATGAAGTCCAACTGTTTGGCTTGGCATCGGGCCTCTTTATGCTACAGTCAGCTGACATGAAGGCGATCATTTCAGAGTTGTTTGTTTACTGAAGTTTCACTTCATATTAAACAGATACAGGTCCATGTTTTGAAACAAAACATGCTAGAGTTGTGTTTTTACCAGTTGGGAAGAATCTACAAGGAAGGGTGAAGTTTTCAGAAGACAGCCCAGTGACCATGAAGGGTTTGGTATAGGCAGAGGTACACATGTTGATTTATTGTCGTGCCTGATGTTATGCATTTAGCTTTTATACATAAGGTGACCATACATCCTGGTTTAGCTGGGACAGTCATGGGTTTTATAGGTTGTCCTGGTGTCCTAGCCAGTTACTGAGAATTGAAAAAAGTCCCAGATCGGTGCTACCCTGTCTGCACTGCCTGGCCTGGCTCCTCCTGAGCAGTGGCTGGATGTAGGGGGCAGGCTGAGCTGGGCACTGCTCCTCTTGCCTGGGGCAGGTATTGGCTGGGGCAGGGCAGGGGGAGCGCTGTTGCGAGTGCTGGCTGCTCACATATGTGGCAGACAAGTTCACCTGTTCGCAGCCCAGTGGAGTCAAGACCAGGGAGCGGCTGCTGCTGCGCAGCACCCAGGTGAGGGTGGGGCTTTCCTGGGGGAAGGGGAGGGCAGCTCTGACCCCTGTGCTGAGGGCACTGGGGGTCCCTCCCCCTTGCTACCCACCCAGCTGCTGGGGACTCATATTTGGGGGAGCAGCTCCAGGCTCTGCCCTTAGACTGTGGCCCCAGCTGGCTCTATCCTGCCTAGGCCCAGCTAACTCCTTTCCCGCCCTGTGCCTGTTTGGCTGGAACGGGTGTGGAACCCGGGCACCATTGCCTGGGTCCCCTCGGACGCTGGGATCGACCCGGGGGCCCGTCCCAATTTGCCTGCTGATTTGCGGGGAGGGGACATATCTCAGATTTCCTTAAAAATAGTATGGTCACTCTATTTACATGGATTAAATAAGACAACTTACCAGTAGTGGTATTATCTAGTTTCTGTCATGGCTTTTTTTCCACTTGCAGTGAATTTTAGTTCTTCTGTTTTATGTGCTGTCCAACTGAGTAGAGCTAGGCCTGGTGCCACCAGGTACCACAGACACTTCCCACTCCTGCTAATGTACCTCGCTTTGCACTTTCAGTGTCACTTGCTATACTTGTCCTCTCCTCAGAAGTGTCTGCCTTTTATGCTGAAGCCATCTGTGTTCTGGTAGATCTGTGATGGGAACCAATAATCACAATAGTTTGGAACTGCCGCACAACCAGCTGCCTGCTTTTATGAAGATGCTGAAACAAACCTCGCTGCAGATGAGGCCAATGGCTTATAGTTGGGCCACATGGCTCACCCCCATTCCCACCCTTAAAGTGGTCATCACTGCCTGTTTTTTAAAATGTTTGGTTTTTTTACAAAGCCAAATGAATTTAGGTAATTCTATAAGCACAGCCCATGTGAAAATGACTTCTGCATTTGTGAGCATACTGTGCCTGTATCTCAAAATAAGACCACATGCTGAGGGGAATAAATAATCTAGGTCTTGGAACTTTAATTTTAGTCGTTTCTTTCTTAAGCTTGCACAATGAGGCTTTTCCCACACGCACATGTAAAACTGGGGGCTGTGTGGCTTCTCACCTGGCTCCCCTCACATCCAGGATTTCATTTCTCTGCCACGTGGTTAGGTAGGACCTGCAAAAGATCCTAAGACAGGTAAGCACTTGTCAGGATGCAGTTACACAAGTGTAATCCTTTGGTGTCAAAGTGGTGCAGCAGCTGTGGGAACATTCTTTTGTTTCAAACCAGAATTTCTTTGGCTTAGCTTACATTTAATCATGAACAAGGTTAAGTTGAATTGGAACAAGTCATTACTACATCAAAATATGGTCCAATATAGGGGCTAGCACCCCAGAGATGTCTGGGCAGACAATCAGCTGTTTGTCAACCCCCCATTTTCAGCAGCTGTTGGCCATGGGGGATTGGTGGAGAGAGCCAAACGGCTTCCCACAATAGAAATTTTAAATCCTATGTCTGGCAGCTCTGACTCAGCTTCTGTGCTCAAGGTTTAAAAGCCACCAGTGAGGGGAAAGTCCTTTGCTGGGACACTCCCCTGAGCCAGCAATCTGGCCAGAGCTGCTTGGCCAGGATGTAAAGTCCCTGGCAGGGAAGCCTGTCAGCTTCCACGTCCCCAGCCTCCAGCTGGGGCTGACAATCAGCTGATTGTTGGTCCTGGGCCCTCCAGACGCTGGGCCTGACAAGTAAAGTGCCATACAGGTCAACCATAAAATGTTATTTGCAGCATAAATGTAATGTATAGAGGGGACTGCACATAGCAGCTAAACCATTCCAAAATGTCAGTGATTGGGAACCATTCACAGGTGTTGCAGGTCAGAAGTGTCCACATGGACAGAGCTCTAGCACTCCAGATACAAGTCATCTTAGGTGTTGAAGTGCTGGGACTCTGACCTCAGGGGCTGAGAGTGAACACTTAGCCAGCATGCCTTGCAATGTGTGAATTGGTAGCGGGGGAGTGCCTGCACCCATGTTCTGGGTGTCTTATGAGTGGGTGACGTATGGCTGGGGGTGTTTTCACTTTTTCCCTTTCCATACTCTCAAACAACAAGTTCAGTTAAATTTCAGTCCTCTTGTATGTGACCAAACTCTGCAGTGTGCTTGTGTGACTGTGATGGATTGTGGGGGGTGAGTGTTTGCACTCACATTTTGGGGTTCCCAGGGACTGGGAGGGGTCCGAGGAGGGGCCACAGTCGTGGGAAATGAGGATACAGCCCCCTGCCCCCCACTGCTGCCACGTGAGCATTACAAGCTCCACCTCACTGCCATCGCATCAACAGTGCGAGATGCTGCCCTGCTGCTACTATGCGGGTCCCCTCCTGCAGTGTTACCCTGCCCCAGAGACCCTGGCTGCCACAGCAGCAGGAACTCTGTGTGTGTGCGTGTGCGTGCGTGTGTGTGTGGGTGTGGGGGTGGGGTGACTGGGAAGGAGCTGTACCTGGGACTTGGGCAGGCCTGGTCTAAGGGACTAGGGGGCATGCATCATATGGGACAGCCATTGCTCACAGAGACTTTTCACTGTATTGCATCAGAACAAAGTTAGCCTCCACAAAAGAACAAAGTGTTGCTCCCTTGCTGAGAAATGCTCCCTGGTACAGTTTGTTTTTCCTGCTCTGCAGTTCAGAGCCTTCTGGTCAGGGAGGAGCAACAGGAAAAGAGCCAGTGACTCTCTCCCTACAGTGTGTCAAATCTGTTTAGAGAGGGTGTAGGCAACAGAAAAATACCACCTGCCTGACTCTTCCCCTGACCTTTGAGGCAGAACAGCATCCCATTTTTAAGGCATATAAGATGAGTGGGGGACAAGTGAATTTTGGAGTTGTTCAGATGGCACCACATGGCACTGGTACTTCCAAGCATTCAGCAGCTACAGAAGGGAATCCATCACTCATCCATGCCCGCCCGTCCTCCCTCCCGTCCCATAACTGTGCCTTTTCCAT